GATTTTTTGTCCAGTTTTCATAAAGCTGTGCATCTCTAATGAAAAACATGCTTACTCAGTCAGCTGAATAATTGATGTACATTGAACGCTCTTCAAAAGCTCCACATAGGCCATCCATCTCTGGACTGAAACACGATACATTGTGGTCAGTTTTGCATAGTAAGACTGAGATAAGCATTTGATGGTTATCTCCAAAAAGTCTTATTCATCATTTCCCTTGCAAGCCGAAGCACATCAGATTTCGTCGCTTCCCTTCTCTTTATTTTTCCTTTCTCCGTCTGTTGCATCAGTTTAAAAACTCAGTGTTCCCTGTCAGAGATACTGTTGATTTTGGCCCTGCAATGAGCTGATAACGTTGTCCAAGCTGCTGCGTGTTTGAAGGTGTGTGTTTTCCCACCAAACCCAAAGCGATGGCTCCTAAAGAGACAAATCTCTGTAGTAACACTTTCTTCCATAAGCATGCGTGTCTTTGAACCCGTCTGGCCTGTGCGAGCAGATGTTTCCCTGTTGATAACTCTACTTATTTCCTCATTTAGATTGCGTCTGCACATCATTAGCCTGGTGCCCTGGGTTATTGTTGTACCATCTCTCTCATTCTCTGAACAAGCACTTATTCAATTCAGTGTCTACAGAGCCAAAAAAGTGCCATTTTCTAGTTAGGTTATTAAATGTGCCAAATTCTACAACTGTAGTAATTGTTGTTTTGTAAGTTTAAATTAAATAGGCTGTTTTTCCTACTCTATTCAGTAGCTGTGATAAATGCCATTGTGAAGTAATGAAAACATGAGTGGAAAAGTATGGTAATAAAACAGAAAAAGTTGTGAAGTTTGGCACACAGGTAGAGGAGAGTCTCAACATTATCCACAACAAATATTTCCATAAAAATATTAAGCCTCACAACTGTTGTAAACGTTGATCATGAGAAATGTTTTCTGAGCAGCAAATCAGCATATTAGAATGATTTCTGAAGGATCATGTGACACTGAAGACTGGAGTAATGATGCTGAAAATCTAGCTTTGCATCACAGGAATATATTGCATTTTAAAATATATTCATATATTGGGTAACACTTTAGTATAGGGACCAATTCTCTCCTATTATTAACATATTGTCTGTATATTAATGCTTATATTTTGCATGGCCATATTCTACATCCCTAATCCTACCCAATTCCTAAACAACTACCTTATACTACCTATTAATAAGCAGCAAATTAGGAGCTTACTGAGGCAAAAGTCGTAGTTAATGGTTTGTTAATAGCGAGAATTTAACCTTAAAGGGGTCATATGATGCAATTTAAATTTTTCCTTTCTCTTTGGACTGTTACAAGCTCTTGGTGCATAAAGAAGATCTGTAAAGTTGCAAACACTAAAGTATCAAATCCAAAGAGATACCAAATACACAAAATAATGTTCTTTTTAGCAGCATCATATGACCCCTTTAAAATAAAGTGTGACCATACATTGTAATAAATCGTGTTTTGATCAAATAAATGCAAATACAGTGAGCATATGTGACTTCTTTATATATCATTCTACTATATATGTGACCCTGGAGCACAAAACCAGTCTTAAGTCGCTGGGTTATATTTGTAGCAATAGCCAAAAATACATTGTATGGGTCAAAATTATTGATTTTTCT